GTTACAGGTGATGTTCTCTCTTCCTGGTACTTCTCTAGGCCCCACGTTTCTATAAACAGGTGTTTTGATTTACTTTTTAATTCATGGGGGGAAAATTAAGACATACATGATTCATTCCCACATAGAACTTTCTATCTACCTTCAATCTCAGATGGCTTTCCAGAGCCTACAACCCCATGCCAGGTGCCAACCCAAACACGTGTGCTGAGTTCTCATGTACCAGGCAGCACCAGAAAAGAGGCGGTGGTCAGAATAGTCACTACTGGGGCGTGTGTGTGCACCACACGTGTGCTGCGGCAGCAGAGAAGCGCTCTGATGAGACAGACAGAAGGACCAACAGACCGACACCGCAGTCATGATGAGCAGCCCCATCCTCGGCCTCACGCCTGTGGGTTCTGCCTGGCTGCTCTGCCCGAATCTTCTTACCTTGTCATCCTGGAAAATTGTTTCTATTTCTCCCTCAAAAATGCCAGTATCTTGTCTCCTGAGAAGCTGAGTCTCCCCCTTTGCTGGAGCCAGGGCCCGTGCTCCTGGCCCCGGGGCAACATCCCGCCCGCCCCCTCACGTAGGTGGGCGTGGTGGAGGACAGCCAGTGACAGGCCCCTCAACCAGAGGTCAGAGGCAGAGCGCCTGGTGCTGAGCCCACCCATTTTTGGCGATCAGCTGCTGCTCTAGGGGCGCCTTTGGAGACAGGATGACGCGCTGGCCAGGGTCTTGGAGACAAGCAGGCTCGGCCCCGGCACTCTCCCCACAGACACTCCTTCCGGCCCCAGGGATGGGATGGGATTGCTAGTTACACGCTGACAGCTCCCACACGCTCGCCTCTCCTGCCTCTAGAGGTTAACAAGCTCGGAGGGGACTGTGATCTCTTCCTCCAACCCCAACAGCCGCTTCTCCCTGCTCCTGGCCAGTGTGGTCAAGTGATCGCCAAGAACCCACGGTTCGCTCCTCTCCCTCCCTAACTCAGCTCTAAGAAGCAGCCAGGGTGATTTTCAAAAGTGCCACCTGACTGCCTCATGCTCCTCCTAGGGGACCTGCCAGCTTGAGCGAAGGCACAGCCCTGAGCCTGACGCCGAGTGGCACGGCTGACCCCACTCTCCACAGGCACGCCGTCCTCCATCAGCTCTCCTGGACCCAAGTTCTTTCCCAGCCCCGGGCCTGTACCTGCTCCCCTTCCTGCAGGAGCGCTCCACCCTCGATTCCTTACCTGGTTGACCGCCTCCTCGAAGAGGCTCAGTGTAAAGCCCACGGCTCCCTCCAAAGAGCCCCCTCCCGGTTAAGGAGGCCTCCGCATCTCTCACAAGCCCACTGTCTCCTCTCACACTGGACGTGGCCATCTGCCACATGTGAGTGTGAGTGTGTTGCAGGGCAGGGTCGTCTGCCACTGCAGACCCGGTGCCGGGCACATGGCTGGCAATCGAGGCCTGTGGACGAATGAAAAGTGGCCACGACCTGGTCCAAGCCCTCGCTCTCACCTGGACAGTTACTAGAGCCTCCTCTCTGGTCCTGCTCCCTTCATCCTCTCTCTCTTCACTCCACTCCACCTTCCACAAGGGCTGACAAGAGCTCTAAAAAACACATTTGATCCTGTCACTCCCCTGAGGAAAAGCCCAAAGGTTCCCCCACAGCCTCCAGGGCCAGACCCAAATCTGTCAGTGTGTCACAAAAGGGCTTTCTTGAGCCCGCTGCAGGTGACCTGTCCGGGTCTGACCCCTGCCATTCCGAGGCCTGCGCACCGTGACCTGGCCACAAGGCGCCGTGCTGCTCCTCCACATGCCACGGGCTTTCCTCGGCCCTGAAAGCCTTCCTCACCCTCCTCCAACTCTTAGGTGTCTGTCAAGACCCAGGTATCAAATGTCACCTTCTGGAAGCCTCCTTAGGCTTCTGCCACCAAGCTTCACTGTGGATTTTGTTTTACAAGAGTTGACATATCCTGAAGATTAGAGTCACCACGGGTGCCCAGCCTCTCTGTTCGCGCACTGTGCTAACACCGGCCGGGCGCACTGCCTGTCCGCCGTCCTCCTGAACGAGAGCCTGGGGGACAGGGCCTGCCCAGCCTGCAAACACGTGGGGGCTTGCGTCCAAGACCAGTAAGAGCCTGTGTGATTAATTTCTGCTGTCAAGTCCAGGCAATTTACTTACCTGCTCTCTGACCAGCTGTTCACCTGTAAGATGGGGACAGCTGTCCACGCCCCCAAACAGGGAATGTGAAAAGCGCTCTAACCCTGACTCTCACACCACGCAGGGCGCGAGGACTGCGCCAACCACCCTTCCTGGAGCTGAGAAATGTGCCTCTGACGGCCTTGCTCTTAGTCATCCTGGCCGACACCTGACGACATCACCCACACAGCCAGAGAATCCTTCTTGGGAAGGACAATCAATCTCAGCCTTGAGCTCCAAATGCCATGTGGGCATCACTCTCTGCACAGTCCTGGCTTTTGAATGGCTGCTCTGCAAATGTAGAAAGAGCACACGCTAACTCATGCTTAAGTCGCTGAGAGCAAGGAGGTACTTCTCAGCCCGCAGCGTCCAGGTGTCCGGAGTGAGGGACGAGTCTGGCTTGATGTGCTGTGCACAATGGGGCCCGCAAGCCTCCAGGGCCCCGTGGTCCTGGCCCCCCCCCAATGGTGACACACAATGCCTTGTTCTCCCGGTGGCATTCCGTGCTATCCTCAGCTTGAGGGGCCTCTTGACCCTGTTTACAGGGTTCTAGTACCTCCCCCTCAGGAATGTACCCCCACCTCACTACAAACAAAACCCCACAGTGAGTCCAAATTCGCCACCTCTACCCACAGTGCGGAGAGGTCTGGCTTAGTGACTCCAGTCTCCGACATCAAAAAAAAATATCGAGGTCCTGGCTGGTGTAGCTCAGTGGATTGAGCGCCAGCCTACGAACCAAAGGATCGTGGTTCAATTCCCCATCAGGGCCAATGCCTGGCTTGGAGGCCAGTTCCCAGCAGGAGATGGACGAGAGGCAACCACACATTGATATTTCTCTCCTTCCCTTCCCCTCTGAAGATTTTTTTTTAAAGTGTCAGTTCGGCTGGAAAAAAAAATATTGAGGGACATCATCTAGCTAACTTAGAAATCACTTTCTCAGGTGATGTTAATAAAATATGTAGGAAAACAGTAATTTTCTGCTTAAAGTTTTTAAACAGAAAGCAGAATTAAATTCTTTTCCTCTGCAGTCTGTCAATCCGATGGCAAGTTTCATTTCCAGTTGCCCGGACAGACTAGAAAAGGAGGCGGTACATCCAGCAGCTGTCACCAAGTCCCGGCACAGGCACGCAGCAGCACTGGACAGCACTGGACGTGTGTGGACAGCACTGGATGTGTGTGGACAGCACAGACCACGTCAGCTGCAGGAGAGTCAGAACTTCAACTGCAATTTGTCAAGTTGAATATTCTTCCCCAGGCAAAACTATTTCTTAAAAACTAGAATCTGTAATGTGCTCTTCTCCGAGTCATGGCGTTAAGACCATGCCACAGTGCGAAACCACTTGGACTTCCTGAGAAGAAGGGTCCCAAGTGGCCTGACCCTTGGCAGGTCAGGGCTAAGGTCACAAGCAGAGAGGGACCCAGGACCTCTAGCTCAGCCAGCCTGTGTCACCTTCCCCACAGGCTGGGGGAGCCATACTGAGACACAGGAGGGACAACACTGAACACGTCAGAGCAATGCACGGGGCCAAAAAGCCACTGCGACCGCTGTCACAGACATAACCTATTTGTCCACCTGCCACGCGTCACAGTCTTGACGTGTCCTGAACAGACAGCTCAGATGCCTCGGGCTCCTTCCAGAATGAACCGAGGAGACCAGCAGCCCCCGAACACACTACAGCACTGGCAGAAGCTAAGTTGTATGACCCGGTTTTAAGTGCCAGGACTTCCAACTGCGTCAAAGGTGATCTGACAGTAAATACTTTCAAGAGCAAAATAGTTACTCCTCATCCACACCAAGCCTGAAGTACCATCTAAGCCGCCAAAGGAAAGGCCTTCAAGTTCTTTGGTCTACATGAAAATTTTGGGCGATGTGAACGAAGCCTGGAATTTTGTGTTTTCTTATTTAAATCACAAATATCAAGTTACATTCTCACCCCTATCTCCACTGTAACAGTTTTAAAGCACCTGCTATAGACACATAAGCACCTGAACATGCTCCATAGAAAGCGCACGAAACAGTTCCCCCGGGGAAGAGCGAGTCAAAGCCCACAAGCTCGTTCGCCACTTGAGAGCGGGGCAGTGCTGAGCGGGGCGGCCGAGAGCGTGGGAAACGGGCTTCGCTCAGCATGTAAGGAAAGGTTGGCTCCCCTTGGTAAGGACATATGATTTTTAAAGGGTTCTTAACAGCTAAGACAGGGTGCTACTTACTTCCTCATTAAATAGTTTGCTAGTTTCTTTTTTGATGGGGTCTATGAGCTGGACTTGGCCTGCGGAAAAGCCCACTAGGAGAGAGACACTCTCTGCTGTGGCTGTGAGGTGGTTGAAGTCATGACAAGTGGGCTGTGTTCCTTTGTATATCCTCTTATCTATCGGTTTACTCAAGTCAGCAGCCTGGAGGAGAGAGAGAGAAACACACACAGTGAACAGCACGTTGAGGTGAGCGCCAAGTCACACTGTTTTACACTCCACTCTGATGGGCCATCTTACACACAAGGGTATTTACAACACTGTTTCGGGTTTTAGCATTTTATCAAAGAACTTTCACATACCTTGGCCAATCTGACATAGTTAGACTATCCATATAATGTTTATAACTGTTACTCGCACAACTTATTTCAAATATGTTTAACTAGTCAGACTCCTGAACCTCAGGAAAAAAATCCTTAAGATACTAAATTCAGTATTTGCAAAATACAATCGAAGCATTTTCTAAGGCAGTACCTCTGTCCACATAAAAGCTCTACAGCACCTAAATGCTCATTAATGAGTTACCTGTAGCCCAGTGGTTCTCAAAGTGCGGTCCCCAGACCAACAGTGGTCGCAGCAGCATCACCTGGAAACTCAGAAATGCAAACTCTCAAGCCCCACCCTAGACCAAAAAAACTCAGAAACCCTGGGGTGGGCCCAGACACCGCACTGGGAACCTCCTGGGTGACCCGACGCTGCCCGGCTGCGCAGAGACCCGATGCAAGAGCAGCCTGCAGCCCGGCCCCGCCCCTCCCCGCACCACTCTCAGGTGACTGCGCACGCAGCCCACACCCACTCGAGTGCAGCACCTGCATCACCTCTCATCCTCACGATGATCCTTCAAAGTTGATACCACTGCCCCATTTTACAAAGAAAACAAGCTTCGGGAAGTTAAATAACTCAGCCAAAATCATCATCTACCCAGCACAAGGCAGGGCTGGATTGGAAACCAAAGTCTGTTGACCATAAAGGGAACAGGGGAAAGCTCGCAGCCACACACACCAAAGGTAAAAGAGAATGACTGACTTGGGCTAAAATGCGGCTTTTCAAGGCGCCTCCCTCCTTTCAAAGCAGGACTCTTTTCTTCCCCGGAAATGTCCTGTGCAAGCCCATATGCTGGGCTGTTACTGTGGAAACAGAGCAACCCCTGCACACACACTTGTTTGAAAATCACAGGGGGAGACAACTAACGCTGCTGACCGCACCCTTTAAACACCCCTGGGCCTGTGCACTGCCTGGGGCACACGGCTCTTCCCTGCCGGCCGCCGGGCCCTGTGCAGGTTCTGAGGGTATCTTCCTTCCAAATGAGGCCTGTGCACTGTGTTGAGTGTCCTATGTTTGACTTTTCAGATAACAAATATAAATACTGAGGAGAAAAGCGGACGTCAGAATTACAGGCATCTTTGAGCAAATGCACGGCCTGAGCCTTTGGAAGCAGGGCCCTGAGTGGCCCACAGTGGAGCAGGGCATGCGGACCCTCCCCTCCCCTCCACCGACCTCCTGGGGCTGTCTGGAGGGTGAACCATGGGACAAGCACGAGAAAGAGCTTGGAGAGGTGTGCGGTACAGCAAGAGACAGAGCAAAAGGAAGTCCTGACTTTGGGGGGGGGGCGCCAGCGGGAAGGGAGTAAGTGCTGGGCAAGGGGGCAGGGGCAAGGCAAGTGGTAGAAGCCACAGAACCAGAAAGGAGCCCCCGGCACAGGACAGAGCCCCCTCCCCCACAAGGAGGGGCAGCGAATCACCTCAGAACAAGCATCAGCAGAAGTTAAAGTGGCTCAAAATACAAAACAGGGTACACTGGCAGCTGGAAACAAAACTCAAATTCGAAATATGAGCAAATTAAATTATATCATGATTTCTATGTCGGCATTTGTAACTCTGGAGACTTTTAAAGTTTGCTTAAGGAACTTCTCCCCCTGAAAGAATCTGATGTTACACACTGAAATATAAAAATCAACTTAAACAGTAAGCCAAAAATTAACAGAGAAAACATACTAACATAAATGAAATGAGCAAACGAGTGTACAATAGTTCTCAGAAGCAAGTAAAAACACCTATTTTTCCAAGTAGCTCCTAGTTCAAACCTGTGGACCCCTGCGCCTCGGTCCTCAGTGCAAAGGGGTGGGCAAAAGCAGGTTTCCAGTTGTGAGTACGCAAAACACAGACTTTACTCTTGAGTTATTTATTAACTATTGTCGCATTTTCCATACACACAGCCGTAAACCTCCTTTTTCCCACCCCGTATTTAGTCTCCATCCCTGCCCCTAATGCGGAACCTTATGGAAAAGACGTCATCTGCAATCAGATCACATGGCACAAACACCTCAAGTATTTTAAATGCCAAAGGCAAGGCTATTTCTACTCTTAAATCATGTAGATATTCTGAAAACATTCTGTTTACAAATTTGCTTACCAAACTTTCTTCCTAAATAACTGCTTTCCAAGTGAACCAGTCCATGAACAGTTTATTAACAGTCTACAGTCAAAATTAAAATTAGTCACTGTGAATAAGCTTTATGGCAGTCTGATGGAGTAATTTTTTATCTATTGATTTTAATTTAAAAAAACAGTCTGTATTCTGTGTCTTTTCGGTTTCTTTTTCTAGTAATTCTTTTTTTTATTTTACAAGATTTTTAACAGGTCCAGATGGGCTGGAAATGTTAAAAAAAACAGCCCCAGGACATGGGTGGGAGGGGCAGGGAGGCACAAAAGGCCGGCCTGGGAGCAGGAGCACCCAGCACCTCTGCCTGCTATGAGGTCACTGCCCCCAACCCCAGAGGGCAGAGCAGCTAGGACAGCACAAGTGTGGCCCAGAGGCCCACTGCCTACACCAAGCGAGGGTCACTGTGAGGCCCGAGTGACTGCCAGGTGTGCGCCCACAAGAAGCCCTACTTCTGAGAAACCCAGGGACCCCGACACTGACACCTGAGCTCCCGGGAGCCAGCTCACACACGTGGGATTCATCTTGTCCTCTTTCCTCTGCAGCCAGTCACTAGCCTCTCTTTCCATGATGTGGTACTGCCCTATTGCCTCTTCCTCCTCATTTTGGGGGCGCTGGGAATGGGCCCACATGCACTCTGAATTCACACACCTTTTTAGCAGCCGTAATTACTCCCTGAGCCAGCCACCCTCTTCCCCACGGGGTCAGCAGCCCCCGCCCACAGTGACTTCCCAGGGAGAAGCAGTCCAGTGGGAAAAGAGCCCAGACTCTGGCACGGGGCAGGCCTTGCTCTAAGCCTTGCCTCACCTTTCCCCTCTCCGTAACCAGATGACCTTATGCAAGGCGCTAGACCTCCCCCACCCCCAGCTTCCCCGAAGGCAGCGCTGAGTCCCACAGATAGTGGACAGAAAGCAGAGTATGCAGAAGCACTCAAATGGTAGCTGCCACATCTTCGAGTCAAGTGGCTTCCTGACTTCCATCACATTAGAGCAGGATGCCATACCTAGCAATCCTGCCTCTCCTTCCTCCCTAACAGCAACACCAACTTTGTCTACAGGACACCTTCCGTGCACCAGCACCTTCACACCTGTCATCTCACTTAACCTCGCGGCAGCCTCCAAGTCAGCAGGAACACTACCCGCGTTCAACAGCTGGGAGACCTGCACAGGGATTCCGGCACCAAGGGCTCCACGGCTCTACAGGGTCTTGCCCCACCTTCCACCTGCCCCCCCCCCCCACGATGCAGGCGGGAGGGCGGCCCTCTTTTCTGGTTCCATTAGTCCACCCTCTTGGCTGGAAGAGTCCCCTTCGCCCCAGTTTCCAGGATTCTCTCTCACCTGTCAGTCCAAGCCCTGCCGCTCCCAGGCGAGCCTTTTCCCACTGACTGTTCTCTGTGCTGGCTGCTCTGTCTCAACTCTCAAGTGCTTAATTTGTTCCATGAAATTCAGTATTTAACCATGTAAGTAATTACAGTATTTCGTGTACTATCATCGATTATAATAAAAATTACAATTGTGATAAAAGATTACAATAAAAACCTCCTTTAAGGAGAACTTCTTTATTAAACAGTTACCACTGTACTGTTCCACAAAATTAGCTTTTGTTTTTCAGCTTTTTGGTGGATTCTGAATAGAAGGGTTTCAGATACTTTGGGATTTTTAAAAATGTTTTTGCATCCTAATTATTGCCTATCATCTGAATTCTTAAGTATGAATTTATACCAAAATGAATGTATCAAAATATTTACCAATTTTAAGAATTAGACCGTATTTGCTTGTTTGGTCCCAACAGACCATCCACATGTCATACACGCTCAATAACTGTTGCATGAACAAAACTGCAATTGTTTTGAATTTTTTCGATAGTAAGATCAAATTTTATCACTATGCCCATTAGTTTCTGCATAAGGAGTCAGTAATTACAAATAATTTGTCAGCGTCTTATTCTCAACTTCACAGAAAAATTTCAAGTGATGGTTTAAGATTCCTACTACAGAAACACAGCTGGTTGCCAAAATCCTCAGTCGGTAAGTACAAACTTTAAAATGTCGTGTTTCTCTCTTCCTTGGACTTTTAATCCTTGGAACTCTTTCCAGGACAAACACTGCGACAACACAGCGTCAGCCTGGCCGGCTGAGCACGGCACCGGCGAGCCCTCCCGTTCCAGCCCCACCTTCACCCAGACCTGGCCTGGGCTGCCGGCCACGGCCACGTGGCTGAGCCAGCAGGGAAGCAGAGCGGGCCCTGAACCCCGGAGGGTCTAGCCCACCAAAGGGGCAGGGCTGCTGCAGGCTCCGTGGGCCCGTGCTGAGCCCTCTTCCAGGGAACCAGCCACCTGATGCTCCGGAGGACCCAGAAGCCTTTGCTGTGACATGGAAAATATCTCAGAAAGACCACTTTTGAGAAGTGCACATCAGATTATGATACATGGGTGCAAAGTAGGTAATAAAGGTGGGCTTTACTTTCCCCAAACTCCTCATTCTCCCTCCTCATCAGGGAAGCCGCTCGGAGAGACCAGTCCCACAGAACCAGGCAGAGTCCCCTGCCTGGCCTATCTAGCGGCTGCCGAATACCAGCCCAGGCCAGAAGCTCACCCGTCCACACCAGAAGACCCCACGCTTCCCTCCTAAGTCCCCCCACCCCTGCACAAGCTTAAAAGTCTGCTGCCTCAGTGGGCCCCTGTACAGCACTCCCACCAAATAGCAGCTTCCGAGCCCTCCCCGGGCCAGTCCTTCCCCACCCGAGCAGGCCTCCTGGGCTGGGCACCAGGTCACTCCCACCCATTTCTACCCACACCCGACTCCAGTCTTCCTCAGGGACACTTGTCACCCAGTCAGGCGACGGCTTCCAGGGCTTACTCCGAGAGGAGTAAGCCCACAGTCCGGGATGGACACGCATACCCAGCTGGTCACCCCAGGGAACCTGGGGAAATGCCAGCACCTTCCAAATCACAGGCTGAATGAAATGAGGCTCTGACCACTCAGAGTTAAGATGTGTTCACTTTGTGCACAAAGTTCAAGTACTATTTTACCGGAATTTTCCTCAACACAGTGAAAATAAAACATGGCCTCACAAAAAAAATACCCACAGCGGTTTTCAACCATCTCTCTGCCCACGTCACACACAGGTCGGCCACATGACAGGAGATGGCCGGCTGCACAGCACCTCTCGGGTTCTCGCGCCCACTCCCCGCCCTGGAAATAGAGACGACAGGCTTCTACTCGGAGACGCAGCCGGCCCAGCCTCCCCAGATTCTGCAATTCCACAGGTACACACCCAAAACCTGCACAACTGATACACACAACACGCAAAGAGTCTAACCCTATTTTTAAAACAGGTATCGGGGTGGCCCTGGCTGGTGTGGCTCCGTCACCAGCTTGCGAACCAAAGGGCCACCCATTCGATTCCCAGCCAGGGCACATGCCTGGGTTGTGGGCTGGATCTCCAGTTGGGGGTGCACAAGAGGCAACCATACACTGATGTTTCTCTCCCTTTCTCCCTCGCCTTCCCTCTCTATAAATAAATAAATAAATAAATAAATAAATAAATAAAATCTTTTTCAAAAATAAATAAATAAAAAAGGTGTCGTGGGTGTTAAGAAGTCTCTTGGGTTTGAGATCGCTAATCCCAGTAGAAAAAAACAAGTCAATCAATCGTACAGTTTCAGGGTTTGAAAGGACAGAAACTTATCTTAGGTCTGGCATGTAGACGATCTCATTAGTATCTACGGTAGAAATGAAACAATTCTGCAAATGGAGGGAAAGAAAAGTATTAGGAACCAGAAGAGACAAATAGCCAGACATATATAAAAGCAAACATATAAATAATCCTTTTGATGACCAAAATCCTAACTGACAAGAACTGCTTTTGCGGGTGCCCATTGGAAAGGAATGGCCTTCCTCAGCAGAATGCGGTAAGTCACTTCCAGGTTCACGAAGCCCCTCCCGGCTGTCCCAACCCCAGCCACACCCACCTTAAGAACAGATGGAGGGGCTGTGGGAGCCCGAGTTCCCAGGCCTGCTGGAGCGGGAGCCAGGCATCCCAGCCTTGCTCCGTCTGGCCCAGATTCCGGACCACCTGCATCATGCAGTCACCTGGCAGGGCCATTTTTATTAAAGTGGAGTAGAATAAAAAAGTTCCAAGCATGATGATGCCTGGCACTTGAGAAAAGTTACTTCCCCTCTTTTAAATTTGTATGTCTCCACGAGTTCTGGCCAAGATGGAGGCGTAGGTGGAAACACTGTGCCTCTTCACACAACCAAGTTTAAAGACAACAAAGTTTTAGTAACAAAAATGCAACCAAAACAGAAAATTGAACTGCACGGAAGTCTGACAACAACGAACCATTCAGCCAGACTGGTAAGAGGGGGCAGAGTCTGCAGCTGGCGGAGCAGGGTGGTGCAGGAAAAAGTGGCCACACCGACCCAGGCGCGCGGGGGGTGGTTGGCAGATCCCAGGCATGGGGTGGCACCAGGCAGACCCAGTGAGGGCGCAAGGCAGCTGGCTGACCACAGTCACACATTCACACTAAGATAAACCAGGCAAAAAAAAGAGCAGTGAGACAGACCACGCAAACCAGGGCCCCAGTGCCGGGAATTAAAGCCTAAAAGCACCAATTGGAAAAACTTTCAGGGGTTGAGGTACCAAGAGAGGCTCCCAGGCTCCCAGAGAGTTCGTTGGAGAGACCCACAGGGTCCTGGAGGGTGCGCAAGCCCACATATCTGGGAACCAGCACCAGCAGGGCCCAATTTGCTTCTGGGAAGCAGCAGAGGGGACCAAAATCTGAGAGAAATCGTGGAACAAGTGCCATTGCCCCTCTCTGACCCCGCCCCCACATGCAGCATCACAACCCAGTGACTGGGTTGCCCCACCCAGGTGAACACCTAAGGCTCCACCCCTTATACATAATAAGCACAAACAGACCAAAACATTATGGTTCAAGAAAAAGAACAGCTCAAAGCCCCAGAACCAATACTTCTAAGAGACCAAGAAATAGCTAAACTACCAGATGCACAGTTCAAAACACTGGTGATCAGGATGCTCACAGAACTGGTTGATTCTACTCACTAATTAGAGGAACAAATGAAGGCTAAACTAAGTGAAATGAAGGGAAATGCACAGGAAACCAACAGTGATGGAAAGGAAACTAGGACTCAAATCAATCAAGTGGACCAGAAGGAAGAAAAAAATGACCAAACAGAAAACAATGAAGAAACAAGAATTCAAAAAAATGAGGAGAGGCTTAGGAACCTCCAGGACATCTTTAAATGTTCCAACATCTGAATTATAGGGGTACCAGAAGGGGAAGAGAAACAGCCACGAGTGGAAAACTTATTTGAACAAATAATAAAGCAGAACTTCCCCAATCTGGCAAAGGAAATAGACTTCCAGGGAGTCCAGGAAGCTCAGAGAGTCCCAAAGAAGTTGGACCCAAGAAGGAACACACCAAGGCACATAATCATTACAGTAGCCAAGATTAAAATGAAGGAGAGAATCCTAGAAGCAGCAAGAGATAAGGGGACAGTCACCTACAAAGGAGTCCCCATCAGACTGTCAGCTGATTTCTCAAAAGAGACCTTACAGGCAAGAAGGGGCTGGAAAGAAGTATTCCGAGTCATGAAATCTAAAGACCTACATCCAAGATTGCTCTATCCAGCAAAACTTTCATTTATAATGGAAGGACAGATAAAGTGCTCCTCAGATAAGATCAAATTCAAGGAGTTCATCATCACTAAGCCCTTATTATATGAAATGTTAAAGGGACTTATCTAAGAAAAAGAAGATAAAAATATGAACAGTGAAAGGACAGCAAACTCACAATTATTAACAACCACACCTAAAACAAAAGCAAACTAAAAGGACAGCTAGATCAGGAGTGGAAACATAGAAATGAAGATCTCAAGGAGGGTTAGCAACAGGGGGAGTGGGAGGAGGAGATGGGGGGAGAAGGTACAGAAAATAAGTAGCATAGACAGTAGATAGAAAATAGATGGGGGGGCAAGAATAGCATGGGAAATATAGAATCTAAAGAACTTGAGACACATGGTCATAAACTAAAGGGGGGTAATGGTGGGGAGGGGGGTAGGGTGGAGGGGAATGAAGGGGGAATAGAACAACTGTAACAGCATAATCAATAAAAAAATTAAAAAAATAAAATAAAAACAAAACAGCTATGAGTTACGGGCAGAATCCTCCTCATGGGGGGACAGGCACTGAGAGCAGACATAGATGATCTCAGACATAATTTTGAAAAGCACATGCTAAATAATGCTTTTTTAAAAAAATATTTTAGTTATTTATTTTTAGAGAGGAGAAGGGAAGGAGAAAGGGAGAGGAACAGTGATACGTGTGTGATACGTGTGGTTGCCTCTCGTGTGCCCTGGACCTGGCCCACAACCCAGGCATGTGTCTTGACTGGGAATCAAACCAGCGACCCTTTGGTTCCCAGGCCAGTGCTCAATCCACTGAGCCACACCAGCCAGGGCTGTTTACACAGAATTCAAAAATAAGGAAAAGTCATCTATGATGCTGGAAGTGAGGACAGTGGTCACTCTTGAGAAGTGTGGGGAAGGGGCCCCAGGGAAGACTCTGGGTGGCCAGAAATGCCATTTCTTTTTTTTTTTTTTAATTTTTAAAAAATCTTATTCATCTTTAGAGGTGAGAGGAAGGAGAGAGGGAGAGAAATATCAATGTATGGTTGCCTCTCGTGCGTTTCCCGCTGGGCACTGGCCTGAAACCCAGGCATGTGCCCTGACTGGGAATCGAACCATGGTCCCTTGGTTAACAGGCCTGTGCTTCATCTACTGAGCTACACTACCCAGGGCTAGGAATGCCATTTCTTAATCTGGGGTTGATTTTACTTTGTGACAAATTAACAGCCCTTTAAACTTATACACATTCCTGTTTGTGTGTTATCTAACATGTTAAAAAATTTTAATGAGCAAACATATGACAGTCAACTCAGCGCTGTTTATAACAAAACATTACTAACATCCTATGTGTTCTAAGAAGAAAATGGGTATGTCACGTAGCCACTTAAAATGAAGATATTTACTTATCCTACTATATCATTTACTTTATCATTAAATGAGAAATGCAATAATAAAAATGGGATTCCAAAGACAAAAAGAATCACAAAATCTTAAAACTATTCATACTGTGATCATACTGTTAGTAATAACAGAATATTGTCATTCTGAATGTCTTGTAGAATAAAGCAAAACAAGTTAATAAAAAGATCCTTATAAATCAAGAGACCAATGCTAAATATTTATATAGGATCTCTCAAAAACCCAATCGTTGTCTAATGTAAACTTTTTACATATGAAAATGTAGTTTTATTTTCCAAGAACAGTTCGTGTATATAGAAAAATATACCAAAGAAAAGCTACGGTGTTTGGGACTGGCTTCCAAGTGCACACCACGGACGAACTAACAGGAATGAGAACCTGGTGAAGGCGGGAGACGGGAGTTCACAGCACCATTCTCTCTCCTTTGTGCAAGCTGGAAGTTTCCTATAATTATAGGAAGTTTCCCATAATTCTATTTGGACCATATATTTACTTATATGCCCATGTTTGCGAAGAAAACAAGTTGAAAAGATATTCACCAAAATATTAAAAGTGGTTGTTAAAAGGTGGGGTAGTATTTAAGTGACAATTTTGTGCCTATCTTAATTTCTACCTCTTCGCCAATAGTTGTATTTTACTTGTGTAATTTTTTGAATAGAAAAAGAAAAAAGAGCCCTGCTGATGTCACTCAGTGGATTGAGCGCGAGCTGAGAACCAAAGGGTCACCAGTTCCATTCCCAGTCAGGGCACAGGCCTGGGTTGTGGGCTAGGTCCCCCGTGGGAGCCATGTGAGGGGCAACCGCACACTGATGTTTCTCTCCCTCTCTTTCTCCCTCCCTCCCCCCCTCTAAAAATAAATAAATAAAATCTCTAAAAAGAAAAAGAGAATAAAAAAACCACAGGTCAAAAACACTACTGAATTACCCTAGTAGTTCTGAAGCAGGGCAAGGCCTCGCCCGGGACAGAGGAGCTGCGTGGCCTGTGCACAGGGAGAGTCACCAAAGGAGGCCGCTCGCCGCTCCACCAGGCGCACGCACGAACGGGGTGACATATGGCCAAGAGGTGATGCTTCACGTGAACTGGGACCACTGAGGTTGGTCCTTGCTGTTTCTGTGGCACCAGAAATGTCACTCGGTGTGATGACAAAGGACAGGAAAATGCTTTCAAGGAGCCAGCCATTCAGGGGACAGACACGGCCATGGGTGGTTCGGCTGTTTCACCCTTCAAACAGTCCGACGGCGTGAGAAGCGTCCACTGTGCGCTCCTCGTTGGCTGCAGTGGCAGATAAAGAGAACTTTTCCCAGAGCCCTCTTGGAGAAATCGTCTGTTCCACGTTTGCCCTCAATCTCCCTCCAAGGTAGATCTAAAATTGAATCTACATCTTTCTCAAAGAATTGAATGGAGAATTTATCATCAAGTCCATGTTTTCTGAGAAATTCTAGGAAAACTCAATTTTCAATTATCCTCAGTCCAGAAGAAATAGCTAAAACGGTTACACAGTAAAACTTGTATTTCTACACTGAGTAATATTTCAGCATTTAAACGTTAAAATCTTGAGGTCTGAAATCACACGATTAGGCTCAGCAGGGATGGTACTGTATTTATAGTCTCAGCTGGGACAGGCTGTATTTGAAATGGAGGTTAGCAGGCCACTGGCCTGGAACTGAATGAGAAGC